TGATATATTATCCTGCTCATCATTATGTAAAAGATTAAAACTTATATTTGGATTGATAGTTTTACATACTTTATCTGATATAAAATTATTTCTATTATCATTATCTTCTATTTGAAGTGATGTATCCAAATATTTTTGCTCCAAATCTTTTTCATATCTAAAATTCATATATTCTTGTGATAATTTTTTAGCTAGTTCCAATTTATTATTTGTTAAAGTTAATATATAAATAAAATTAATTAACATAAAAGAATTTATACCTTTTTTTTCTTCAAGTATCATATGTTCTATAAGATCATATAATTTTAATATGTTATCATCTTCATAATGTATGTTAAAGCATGCATATGTTAATGCTATACAACTATTAATATCTACATTAGTTTTTATTTTATTTTTATTTATTCCTATATCATATAAAGCATTTTTTTTTTCATGATCATAATTATATATACTTGTATTATCATATGTATCTTGTGATATCTTTTCATTTTTAATAATTTCAAGATGGTTGTCTCTATCATTACAGTTACTATTGTGTGTATGTGTATTAGATTCATCATATGTTAAAACTCCGTTAGTTAAAAAAGAATCTTGATCTTTTTCTTCAATATTATTTAATATACGACTAGTAATAGAATTAATTTTCTTTTTAAAAACACTTATAAGTTTTGGTCTTCTAGCTAAGTGTGTTAACATAATATATTTCAAACGTTTATTTGGATTAATATTACTTAAGAATATTAGAAATTCCATACTTGTGCTTTTTAATAATATGGGTATAATTTGTCTCATTATCATATTTATTATGACATCATCATACATATGCATATTATTCATAATGATTAATAAATTATTAACATCCTTTATATTTAATTGCCAGAAATTATTTAATCTAATTTTTATTTGTTCATATAATAAATCATTTACATATGGTAAATATATTTCTTCTTCTTCTTCTTCTAGTACATTACCTACTTCTTTATATGTTCCTTCATTATTTTGTAAATGCATATATTTCAAATCTACATTATCGTCGAATATATTTATTATATTATTCAGTTTATTGTTATGTTTTTCCTGATGGATATTATTTTGTGCCTGCATATTATTAGCATTATTTTGATCAAGATGATGATAATGATTATTATTTATATGATTTTTTGTTAGATTTATGAAACTGAAATAACCCCTGTTTTCATACTTTTGTAAATCTTTGATTATTAACATAATATTAATACAATCCTCTCCAGGTAATAATTTGTATTTAGTTTTTATTTGTTGTAGTATATATGCTATTAATTGGAAGACATGAAAATTGTGTACGTTTAAATAACATATATTTTTTAAAGCATATAATATTAGAGTAAAATTTTCAAGGTATAATAACATTCTTATTTGATATGCTTGTTGAATTAATAAATAATAAAACTTATGATCATAAATATCTAAAAAGGAAGAGTGATATATAACATTTGTTAATTGTAAGGGAGTAAAAGAATATAAACTTTTAATAATTTTATTTTTTAAATGATTAAATAAATCTTTATATCTATAATTATATTTAATTCGACTTAGACATGTTAAAATCGATACAATATCTTTTGTAGTAATATGTTTCATATTTTCATTTATTTTGGTTAGGATATTAATATATAAATCCTGTTTTTCTATATTAGTTGCATATGTATAAGACCATAAAATAATACATAAATTTTTTATATTCATATTATGTATATATATATTAATAGCATTATAAAATATATCATTATATAAATATTCATCATATTCATTCAATTTTGTAAGTGAATAAATAATATTAACAATATCTAAATAATTAGCTTGATGTATATTTTTTTCAATAATTTTCTTTACTTTTTTTACTAATTTAGATGTATAATTTATATTACTAAAAGCCCATAATATATTACTTATATGTTTCATATTTAAATCATCAATATGATCTTCGATTTTTTTGGAGAGATCATAATATACATATATATCTTTATATTTTAATTTTGATAAAGATGTAAGTAAACAAATAATATCATTTAAACAAACAAAACTAGAAGTATTTCTTTTTATTAAAGCAATCATTTTTAATTTTAAACTTCTACTTTCATTAGTTTCAATTATAATATTACTTAATGTATAAAATACACTACATATTTGTTTTGTGTTTAATTCTTCTATTTTGTTATTTATACCAAATATTATATCATTAAAAAAATATGGAAAATAATCTATTTTAACAAAAGAATAAAATAATTGTACTAAATTAGATATTTCAAATAAATTCATATTTTCTTCTATTTTTTTAATAATACATAAAAACATATAATTTTTTATAATGCTTTCTTTTTGATAAGAATCAATTAATTTTGATATTCTTACTAAAGCACTACTTAAATTTATAATATCGCAACTTTTTAAATTATTGTACAAAACATTTATTATTCCACTTACACTTTTTTCTTTTTTTATTTCTCTTTGTATAATTAAATTGTCAATATTACCATCTATAATTGAGCTTAAATTTTCTCCACTAACTTTTTTTATAATATCATTTGCTTTAATTTCTACAAAATTCCTTTCTGATGATATAATATTATTATCTTCTTTATACAATATTTCAGGATCGCTATATATCACTTTTTTTTCATCATTATATTGACCTTTTGATAATTTATCTATACATACCTTTGCTGATATATCATCCCTCTCTTCTATAAAAAGCGATTTTTCCCAATCCATAGATATATTACTACATTTACTATTATTATTAATAGATTGATTTAAATCATTAATTAAAATATCGCTAGCTAGATTATTAACTTTTTTACCATATTGATTCATATGTGAAAAACCCGTTTGATATTTCATATCTTCTTGAATTAAATTATTTATATCAATTTCGTCTTTATGATCACTTAATTTATCTTCATTTTTATTTAACGTATCCTCATTTTTATATAGTGTATCCTCATTCTTATTTATCTTATCTTCATTCTTATATGGTGTATCCTCATTCTTATTTATCTTATCTTCATTCTTATATAAGGTATATTCATTCTTATATAGTGTATCTTCATTCTTATATAGAGTATATTCATTCTTATTTATCTTATCTTCATTCTTATATAGAGTATATTCATTCTTATTTATCTTATCTTCATTCTTATATAGAGTATATTCATTCTCATTTAACATATATTCATCTACATTTCCCATCTTTTTATTTTCCTTTGAATTATTGTGGACATATAATCCTTCTTCATATATCTCATCATATGATTTAATATCATTAATATATTTTTTATCGTTTTGTAAAAATGTATCAATATCTTCATTTATATTTTCAAAATCTATATTATTATTATTTTTACTTTTTTTAATATAATGATTATAATTTTTCATATGTTCCTCTTTATCAGAATACACACATGTATCATCATACATATTCTGAAATTTATTATTATTTGTAATAAAGTTTTTGCTTCCTTTCTTATACTTCTTATCAATATTATTATTTTGGTTATCTAAATATTTTTCATCCTTTTTTATTTTTTCATATTCTCTATTTATTTTATCATTCATATCTTTATGAAATGTTTTAATCTTTTTTTTCAATTTGGAATGATCTTCTTTTTCTTTAAGTATTTGCCATAAGCTTTTTTCTTCATCATGTAAAGTAACATTGTTGCTAAAGCGATTTATTTTATCTTTACCTATATGCTTATTTTTTAATTTTATATCATTGTATTGTTTTATAAAATTATTATATGTTTTATCACTTAATAATAATTCATTCTTTGAATTTATCATATCTTTATTGTTAAAAATTTGGACAGTGCTTTGTTGTTCTTTTATTTTATTTAATGATTCATCATTATCAAAATTGGTTAAAAATTCTTTTTGTTTATCTAAATAAAAATCATTACTATCATACGAATCTTTATTTATAACATCACGTATATTACTATTACTATTATTATTACTATAATTATTATTTAGGTTCGAATTATTAATACTGCTAAATTTATGTATAAATATTTTACCACTCAAAGGACTACAATCTGTTATGTTTGTGTAAACATTTTTTATTCTTTTACTTGAAGAACAACAATTTTTAATAATATTATGTTTTATATATTTTTTCATTTCAAAAAAATTAATAAACAATAAAAAAATAAATAAACAAACAAACAAAAAATATAAATATAAATATATATATATATATATATATATGTCAATTTTAAAGTATCACATGTGTATAACACTTGTGAGATGCATCTCTTCGTGTTTATTACATCCTTTTAATATGTTATCATTTTACATAATCTTTTTGTGGGAAAGTCCAAAAATTAACATAAAAATTATAATTGTACTGTCGTTTTTTTTTTTTTTTTTTTTTTTTTTTTTAATATATCTTTTAATTTGTTACACATATAAATAAATAAAAAAAAAATATATAAATATATAAATATATATATATATATATATATTATTACATGTTTCTTTTGTACCCTATAGGAGAGTACTTATTAAATCCTGTGTGTTTGAAAATAGTATGTGTGAAAAAAAAAAAAAAAAAAAAAAAAAAACCAGGATATAACATTATATGAAATATGCAGATCAAGAATAAGCAAATAAAAAATTTATTATTATTATTATTATTATTATAGAATTTATAGATGAACATTAATATACAATCAAATTAAATGTATATTTTTGAAACAATATATATATATATATATATATATATATATATATGTATTTAAAATATATATATATAAATATATATATATATGTATGTATATATATATATATATGTTGTTTTATGAAACTCACATATTAATGAACATTAAATTTAAATAAATAATTATTATAATAAGGAAAATGTATAATGATATTAATTTATAAAAATTCATATTTTTAAATGTTTTATTTTATGAATTTTATTTATCATATAAATTAATTAAAATAATTTAATAAGAGTTGACAGTTTGCCCGAGTGGTTAAGGGGTTGGACTTGAAATCCAATGAGCTTTGCTTGCGCAGGTTCGAATCCTGCAGCTGTCGGCAATTTTTTATAATAAAATAAAAAAGAAAGAAGAATATATTATATATATATTGTATGTATATATATATATATTATATATTATTTAAAATATCTGATTTAATTAATTTATTAATTTCTATTATGTATGTAATGTGATATATATATTATTTAAAAGTATCTAAATTTTTTTTGAAATATTTCATTTGGGGCCATATAAATATTATATTAAATATTTAAAAAAAAAAAAATATATATATAAACATAAATAATATATATATAATAATACATTATATATTTTCTTCCCCTTTGGATAATTTAAAGGAATACGTGAAAAAAATATGATAAAAAAAAAAAAAAAAAATAAAAAATAAAAATAAAAATAAATAAATAAATAAATAAATAAATAAATATAAATATATATATATATATATATATTAGTCTTAAAATATAATAAAAGTTTTTGCTTTTTGTAAAATGTTATTATAAATACATATATATATATATATATATATATATATATATATATATATTATATATTATTATTTTTTTTGTTCATTTAAAAGGTTGGTCAATCGTTTTTATAAAAAACTGCTGTGTTTAATGACTTACGTACTGATGCTCGTTGTATACAAGCTAAAGGTACTGTTGTTATACATCCAATTAATTTTTTATATGATAATTTATTAAAATTAAAGAATGATCTTAAAAAATTTAAAGGGTCAATAATTTGATTGATATGAATACTACCAGAACTTATAATAAGTTTATTTAATGGTATAGTTAAAAATAAATTATTTAGATTTAAAGAATATATAACATATTGCAAATCATCATTTCCTTTAATAAATGATGATATTTCAAAAAATATTCCTTTATCTATAGCACCTTGAATATCAGATTTGCGAAGAGAAACAAATGATTTAGTCATATTAAAATATATAATATCACAATCGAATTTATTAATAATCATATTTATTTCTTCTGCATTATCAATTTCAAAAGCTATTATATCGAAATTATTTTCTTTAATTATTTTATTATATTCTTTTTCCATTTTATAAATATCTTGATATTTTACATTTAATCTTTTTAAAATGAAACTATTTAAATTATTAGACAAATAATAATTTTCTTTTGGAATATAATTATACAATAACTCATTTATATCATTTTTTTTTTTTGATATATCCATTTTATTTTCATAAAATATAAAATCATCACATATATTTTTTATACAAAAATTATTTGATCTATTTATTAAAATATAATTTTCAGATATCATATTATTTATATTTAACATATAATCATTCATTTTATTGATATTATCTAACTGATCAATAAAATAATTTCTCTCTCCATAATTATTATATAAATTATTATTTTTATCATCATTATTATTATATGCTGTACAATTTATAACTTTCCATGTTATATCACATATATTATTATTATCGTTACCATTTTTGAATATATTATAATTTACACTTAGAGCAACTATATTATAGCCTACAGTTAATGCTTTATATATTAAACACTTATCATATTTATAGCTTGAATGTTTTATATTTAAATTGATATACATTTTATTCTTTTTTTTTATTTATTTCATTTTCTTGTTCTTACATTAATATAAATAAATAAATATATATATACATATATATATATATATATATATATATATATAATATATTTATAATATATAAATCCCAATCATTATGTCATTATATCATTATGTTATTTTATCTTAAATATACAAAATAAAATAAAATTATATATTGCACCAGAAATTTTTTTTATAAATATATTTTGTAGTATATATTCTATTTTGTTCATATGACATATAAAAGATGATATAAAAAAAATAAAAGATTTAATAAAACATTAAAACAATATTATGAAAAAGAAAAAAAAAAAAAAAAAAAAAAAAAAAAAAAAAATTATTATTATATTTTTATAATCATTCCCTTGAATTTTCTATTATAAAAATGATAATACCAAAAATGTGTTTATATTTTGAATATTCAATTTTTTTTATTTTTGTAGAATTAATATATATAAATTAATCCATATAGAGGTACATATAAAAAAAATATATATGATAATATATATATATATATATTTTATATTTTATATATATTATTTCTTTTTTTTATATTTCAAAAAAAAAAAAAAAAAAAAAAAAGAAACAAAGAAAGAAGTTTTTATTACATATATGTAGCAAATATTTTTATCTATATATATTAAGTTATAATGTTATTAGCCTATATAAAATATAACGACCACACGAATGATACATATATATAATATATATATATATATATATATAAACAAACCATGTTTAACATATAACAAATGTAACAATTTATTAGTAGAATGAAGATAACAAAAGAAAAAATAATAAATAAAATAAATATATAATAAAATAAATAAATATAAAATAAACAATAAAGGAAAATATTATAAATGAATAAATATATAAACAAAATAATTATACAATACATATACACATATGTTTGTATGTATTATGTATATTATAATATGCATATTTAGATATTTATATATACATATTTGTAATTTATTAAAAATTAAAAAAATAAAATATAGATATTTATATTTATTCCTTTTTTAACATAAAAAAAATATATAATTACCATGTTCCTCAAATGATAATAAAAAATGAAGTAAATATATAAATATATAAATATATAAATATATATATATATATATATATTGTGTATATTGTTCAAACCTTATATTCTCCATCCTTTTATATTTAATTTATATCATCATTTTGTTTTCCTTCATTTATAAACGAATCTGTGTTATATGTAAGATCGTTAGGAGATTTTATGTAACCATTTGTACCCTCGTCATTATTATTTTCAATATATTCTGTATTATATTCATTTTCCTCATTATCATATTTATCATTTCCATATTCGTCATAATATGTTTGATCAAAGGACCCTTCTCCTCCTTCATTCTGATAATTATCATGATCGAAACTAAACACATTACTATCATTATTATTCTGTATATTTGAGGGTGCAGTTATACAAGGAGTTCTTCTATTTTTTGATGAGGAATCATGACCTTCAGTACTTAAGTTATTGAACAAAGGACTTTGTGGTTGTATATTTCCATGTAATACATCATTCATCATTGGTGCTATGAATCCAGTAATTTGTGGATCTACCCATCCTTCTGGTACTTGTCCAAATACATTTTGTAAAGATGATATGTCATTTTGTTCATATTGATGAGATGGTACTAAGTCAAGAAATCTTGGTTTTGGTAAATTTGGTACAGGTATAAATTGATGTACTTCAATTGCATGTAATTTAAATGATATAGAATCCAATTTTCCTGCATCTATTGGTGGTTTATCAACTTTACCTAAATATTCTATAGATGGATTCACTGGACTTTTCTCGAGAAAATCACTAGAATAGCTAGATTTGGTATTTGTCTTTTTTTCCATCTGTTTCTTAACACTATCTAAATCTTGTTTAAAAAATGATGCGAAATCTTTAGGCATAGATTTAGGATATCCTGTATTGGGATCTATATCATAATTATTTTCGTTCTCTTCTTTATAATTACTGCAACAGTTATTTTTATAAGTTGAGTAGTTTCGACCATTGTATATTTCTTCTTTTTCTTTGATATTATCTTTCTTAAAATAACAGAAAGGCCAATTTTTTTTTTTTTTTTTTTTTTCTAAACTTTTGTTTTTCAGAATTTCATTGTATTGTGCATCATTATCTTTTTGTACACCTGTTAATCTTGCTACGTCTAGTAGTGATTTCTTTACAGATTCATCCACATGAAAATTTGACATACCATTATAATTATTACTATTATTATATATATTATTATTATGCATATTGCTATTATTATATATATTACTATCATTATATATATTACTATAATTATATATATTACTATCATTATATATATTATTATCATTATATATATTACAATTAGAACCATTCATATTAGTGTCATAACTAAAAATATTATTATTTTTTAACAACATCTCAGAAGGGATATCTAGAGCTTTTTGATGAGGATTCAAAACTTCAGATGTATTATGAAAATGAACAGCTGGATATGGAACTATTAAAGGTGGAGGACAATCAAGTTCTACATCTATTTTGGGAACATATTTACATACAGGTACATCCTGATATTTTTCTTTCCATTGATATTTTACGACATCAATTTCTTTTTCAACTTCATTAATTCTTGGTATAATTTTTTCTTTTATATCAACTATAATTTCCTTTTCAACAAATTTATCAACATATTTAATTTGAGGAATTTCTACTTGTATAATTTTTTGTTCTCCTTCATATTTCGGAATAACACGCGGAATCTCTCTAACATCCCAAGTCGGAGAAAAGACAGGTGTATATCCTATAGGCATATCTACTTCTACAGGTTTTTCTATAATTTTCTCTTGAGGTATATTAACTTTTTTTTCTTTATATAATAATTCCACAGTAGGTACATCATGTTTAGTTTCTTGAGAATAAAAGGTAGGTTGTACAACATCTTGAATTTCGTAATTTACACATTCTACTATTTTATCTCTAATATATTTATCCTGGTACACAGGTACATTAAAAACGGGTTGATCCCCTTGTATATCTATTATTGGTCTTTCATTGATATTTTCATATATATTATGTTTCCCATCTTTATTAAAATATATTTCGTTATATTTATTAATATAACCTGTATTCAAAACATCGTCCTCTTTTTCTTTTTTTTTACACCAGTCCTTAAAGGTTAGTGTGCACTGTTTCTTGTCTTCCATTTTTTCATCTAAGAAAATATATATATATATATATATATATTGGTCTATCAGAGTAATGTTCTTTAAAGGAAAAACGCAGCTCTTACAAATAAATAATACGTATGTATCTATTTCTATATATATATATATATATATTTCCTTTTCTTTTTGATTTGGGAAGTATATATTTTTTAAAATTTCTTATTTTATAACATCAAG